TACTACTACTACTACTACTACTACTACTACTACTACTACTACTAATATAGACCTAATAACATTTGTATTGCGCATATCCCCGCTCGACAACAAGATCTATGCGCTTACACTTTACACTATATTATTACCCCTGCAGACCATAGAACACTCAAAAACATTCTCAGCTTCCTGGGAACAATACAGTGCAAGCAGCTGATTAGATCTAACCTTATCCGTACGTCGTGTTTTACTATCGTATCCATACGACGTGGGAAACTGTACCACCACTTTCCAAAGAAGAAATGTACTCGTTAATCCGATCCGTACGCTTTGCATAGCAGTCTGTCAAATAATGTTTTTGAGATTATACGAGATCTTCACACTAGAAGTATTCTAAAATATGAAAAAAAATACCCCGGGGGTGCAAAATGACCCCAGGGCGTACGGAAAGGGTTAAGCGCTCAAACACAAATAAACTGACAAGATCTTTCGCTGTCTATTGCTGGGTATCCATTCCCACCTCGGTGAAGAGAGGAAAATTCGTGTAAAAGTAAAGTGGCTTACCAAAAGACACAACGTCGAGCCCCTAGCGGGATTCGAACCCACGACCTTACGGTTGCGAGTCTGAGAGCCTATCCACTAAGCCACCGTCGCCACAGCCTCGAAAGGATTTCAGGATACCCCAGGTGTATGTCGTGCTACATTCAGAAGCAGCGCGTTTAGACAATATAGGCACAGAAAGTTTCTGAATAGCAGATCTGTTGCATGCAACACTTGCACAAAGTAAATCGCACTCCAGTTGAAGAGATTTTCTTGCACACTGAGTTAAGCTCTACTCTAACTGAACAAACACAGGAGACAAACCAGATGAAAATATTTTCTTTGCCTAAGAAGTACAGTATGTAGGCCTACCGTACCTCAGTTTCTCACTTTCTGTGTGTCTGTTAGTATTCATCACGGACAATTACATACATGTACCATGTTATGAAGGCCCTACAGAACAAGGTCAATTAGTTTTTCTATTGGTCATTCTTATTCACTTTTGTTTGTTTCTTGTTGATTTGTCATACGGTTGCTGAGCAGGGCGAGTGTTTGGTAGGCGGACTGGTGTGGTCTGCTCCTTCTGCTTCTTTTGAGTGTGCTGCTTTTGTCCTAATCTGTTGTGTTGTTTTGGCGCTGAGTGCAGTGTCGATACTTTACTTTCTTTTTACTTGTTTCATCCTCTGTTGCCGTTAAGCGTCGAGGGGAGATGTAGTTTTCTATGGTAGGCCAGCTACGCATCTCTTTCAATAGGGATATTATTATTTCTTACGGTTTCCTTGACTCCCTCAATCTAACTTTTGTGTGGCCTACCTTTTCCACTATAGCCCGAGTGTTTGGTGTTAATAAAGGCTATCGATGCTGGTTGGCTACATGACACTCGTAACAGGTGGCCAAACCATTTATTCTCTGAGGTAAACACCTCAATAAACAATCAAACAAGCTGATTGAGGTTGCCCAAGCCTACACCCCCCCCCCCCCCACAACCGGCAAAGTCAGTGCACACGGCAATGCAGAAAGTCCCAGAAAAGCACTGTTGATAGAGTCCCCAGGTCCTGCGGGTTTTATGTCACTATCGACACACATTTCAGGGACAAGCTAGCATCTGAGTTTGTTGTCATTTTTTTTCTCCAAAAGTTGACACAAAAATGGTAAAAGTTGCCATAAAAGTTGTCGTTAACGTTGAAGCTTTTATTTTTTAACTCTCTGTGACGACGTATATAGCGATAGAGTTTACTTAATCTAAAGCACCAGATTTTGTGTGTGCTCTGTTTAAAACATCCAGAATATGTGTCATGACGCAGTGGAAACAGGCGCTCGTCAATTTTTGGGCATGTGGATTTATTGGTATCATCTTAATGGTGGTTTATTTGCCTTGCTTTGATGAAAACATTATCCATCCATTTTGAATAGGAGTCGAGATATTTGTGCTTGAAGAAGGTGGGGTCACCTGGTTCCAGAAGTAAGATTAGCGAGAAAATGGCGGCTAAAGTTTAGTGACTTCCATAGCTTTAAGAGTTCTTGGAAACTACAAATTTACATTTCTTGTGCCTTCAATCAACTTTTTTCCCATTAAAATCCTACATTAAAGTTTTTAAAAATGGACTTACAAGGTGTTGAGCTAAAGAACAAAAATTCGAAAAAAAATTCCAACTGTCCGAAAATGCCAGTTTCTCAGATTTCATTATTTCGACGAGCGCCTGATTTCACCACGTTGCCTCACATATTATCCGTAGCCACACAGAGTGTAAAAACGTGAAAAATAAAAGTTTCACAATGAATGAAATCAAAATAAGAACAGCACATACAACCACAAAAATTAACAAGTAAAGGCGTGTGTCCACCTGTCCGAAGATTGGCCGTTTTAACCCTAAACGTGTGTAATTCAAGACAAAGTACAAGACATGTTACATGTTAATTATGGATTCACACACAAGGGGCCTGCCAGTGTCAGTGTCAGCAATCAGTTTTGGTGGGAGACACGCTCTAACGTAACACACATTTAACTTTCTTCAAAAAAGGTAGGAACAACATAAAATAAATAACATTTACGTTATATAAACACAACAAATTAAAAAAACAACAACACATCAGAACAACAACAAGAAAAAGAAATTAACACATTAACAAATTAAAACACAACAGAGAGGGAGAAATAAAAGAGAAACAGCATTATAAATAATAGCCTATGGAATGCACTAATATTCTTCACATGAAAATAACACATCAATGTGGGGTCAACAAGTGAGAAGGAGACGAAGTGAAGCAGTAAAGAGGTTCAGTTTCTTTTTGTTGTTGCTGTTGTTG